TAGGTCAATAAATTTACTATGTATGCCGCACGAAAAATTAACTGAGTAGAATAAACAGGAGATTAGTAAAGCATACAATATGAAGTTAAAGGCGTTCTTTCCAAAATATCATTGTAGCGCTTCGTAGATGTTGGTGTACAAGAATAGGAGGAAGTAGAAAGTGAAGATCGAGGAACCATGGTCGGACGAGGTGGTGTCGGACATTTTGGTCGATCGCAAACCTAAAAATAAACAAAGAAGTAGAATACTTGATGCAAATGTAGATTTTAAGATATCATATCAGTAGTACAAACAGTTAGGAGATCATTCGATGAGTTATTGAGAATTCCTGAAGACTTGTTCAATTGGAGTCTTTTCTGGAGCTGTTTTTCATAGATGTTACGAGTTGTAGCAGTTACTGGTCCCACCTTTGCGCCAAGTGCAATTAAATTAGCCCGTAATTCTTCATCTGATAATTTACGGATAGGCTGAAAATATTGTAAAAATAATTCTGAAGCATACAATTTATTATTATAAATTAGCATATCTCGATATTGTGATTGGTATCATGACCAAAGCAAAAGAAAAAACCAACTTTTTGAAGCATTTGGCCAGGACTTTTTGAACGTCGGCGTACCGAATTGGAGTTTTTGACTGAACTCGACATTCTAAAGTCAGAAATTCTAGATTTAAAAAAAAAGAACTTGACTAAATGACAAAATACTAACCTAATAAGATTTGATTAGTTCACTACCAATACTTCAGCCAATAATTTAACCGTTAATATTCTCCTCTCTGTACAACTATAGGATAAATTATCTCATAAATCTTATTAGAAAGATATTACTGCAAAGTTATCTATTGCACTTCAGAAGACCGTTATTTTATATTTGTTCTACAATACTCAAACACATAATCCGCTATATTTATGCTGTGTTCACGTCAATAATTTATTTAAGCTTAATTGAGGGAAAACAACCGCTCACTAACCACCGCACAACCCGAGTGTCCCAATCACAATCGAAGAAAACAACCCAAAATTCCTATTAAAGAAACCGCTTATCACTTTGAGACAATTTTTGCAATTTTGCGGAATTCAAAATAGCAGAAATAGTACAATTGTATTGGAGAGAGCAGAGAGAAGGAGAACATTTAGAGAGCATGTGACAATAGAGAGAGTCCCTGCGTTCTCTTGTTCCGGATATGGGAAGGGAAGTTGGGAACGGGGGGACGAAGGAGAGAGTGCGGGACGGGGAGAGGAGATAGCAGGAAAGAAGAGGAGAGTCTTTGAGGATGTTTAGGGATATGCAAATTAGTAGTGATGATAATAAGGAAACAGAAATAGGAAAGTGAATCAGGATGGTATGCTGGCCATCTGTGTGTGAAGCTGTTGAGCATCATTTCGGGTTTTTTCCTTATTAATCTCTCTCTTCCCATTTATCCATTGATTTCCGATACAGTTCGAGATAGAACTTTCTGGTAATGAAACCGTATTAAAGTTTTGGTTTATCAGCTGAACTGAAATCGAAACATTGATGCGCTCTCATCATTTTTTTTTCTGCTCATGTTATATCGGATCATTTGGTTTCTGCTCTTTCTTCAATTTCATTTTTAAGTTTTTGAATCTCAATTGTACAGTTCGTTTTAAGGAAGCAAAATTCTATCAATGAAATAACAAATGGAATTGACGAGAATATTAAAGTCCGAGTTTTACGCGGTAGAATTGAATAAGACGGTGTGGATCATCCCAAATTATTATCAAAATCTTACACCTGTCGGTACCGGTGCTTACGGTACAGTATGGTTAGTTTGTTTTTTGATCATCCAAACACGAGAGACTTGTCCTGCAACCCTTGGAAAATTTTTATTCTACCATCTGTTGATTGACTGAAGTCTGAAAAAAAAAAAACTTGGGTACTTATCAGAACATAATCCGATGTGATGTTCAATTTTGTAGAACACAGCTGAAATTTTAAAAAGCAAGTAAGTGGATAATTTTGATTTTAGTGCAGCAGAATGCCGACTAACGGGTGAAAAGGTGGCGATAAAAAAGTTTTCTCGACCATTTCAAAGTGCAATCCATGCAAAACGTACGCATCGTGAACTGAAACTATTACGGTCTATGAATCATGAAAATATCATCGATATGCTGGATGTATTCACTCCTGACGTCAACGCTGCTTCATTACAAGACGTGTCAGTTTTTTTCCAAATATTGTATTTTAACTTTCACTTTTGTTTAGTACTCTCTGCTTAACTGGCTATTTACCATTGCGAGTGCAACTCACTACTTTTGAAATGAAAAGAAAAATTAGCTTTCGCTTGTCTTAAGAGATAAATGTAACCTAGTAAAATATTAAAATGCAAAGATTGAGCATTAACAGTACTGTTCATCAAGTGTCGTTATTGTTTGTCACAGTAATTCACAAACCTATACAGTTGAATATCAAAAGAAGTGAATGTAACGATTAGCTTTTTCAATCCTTCTGGTATTAAATTACTCTTATTATCTGCAAATTAACTTTTGGGAATTGTTTTAGATATTTCGTTTCTATGTTGATGGGAGCAGATTTATCCAGTATATTAAAGATTCAGCGTCTCAGCGATGATCACGTTCAGTTTCTTATTTATCAAATACTTCGTGGCTTAAAGGTTTTTTTTCTTGTTTTAGGGGAAGAAAGTTAATTATATGAGTTGTAATCCGAATTCTTTTCATTTTTGTTTTCACAAAGTAATTATTTTACAGTATATCCATTCCGCTGGTCTTATTCATCGCGATCTGAAACCGTCAAATATAGCTGTCAATGAAGACTGTGAATTGAAGGTACAGAATTCCATTACTTTACGGAATTTTTCCATGACGAGGTTTACTGAATACAAATATTGACGAATTGTTGGAGTTCTGAGTACTATTTTAGATCCTCGATTTTGGTTTAGCAAGACAAACTGACAGTGAAATGACTGGGTATGTTGCCACACGTTGGTATCGTGCACCTGAAATCATGCTTAATTGGATGCATTACACACAAACAGGTAATCATTTTCTTGATGTATGTAACTGTTTCGACTTGCTTTAGAAAGCTATATTGTCATTAGTTTTTGAAAAGTTTGTTTTTTGCAAGTAGAATCTCAAAAATCTTTGATATTCGAACGGAATAATTTTATATTGTTCGTTTCATAGGTTTTTGCTAAATCTTTTTTGTTGCAGTGGATATTTGGTCAGTTGGATGCATTATGGCAGAATTAATTACAGGTCGAACTTTGTTTCCAGGAGCAGATCGTAAGCACTTAATTTTTCAATGGCTTTTCTTATAGGGATAGTCAGTTGTATTTCGAAGTATAGAAGTTTTTTTCCATCATGATGTAAGCTATTTTTATGTTAACGTAATTCATTTTAACAATAATATGCCAAATATATTGTGTGAACTGTTCAGATATTGATCAATTAACACGCATAATGAACGTGGTCGGTACGCCAAACGAGGAATTTTTATCGAAAATACAGTCAGATGAAGCTCGTAATTACATTCGTAATCTTCCAAAAACTCCCAGAAAAGATTTCAAAAAATTATTTCCAAGCGCGTCATCTGATGCTATTGATTTGCTTGAAAAAACTCTAAACCTCGATCCTGATTATCGGTAATTTATTGTTTATAATATTCTCTTTATCTTTTTTTGCCAAGAGAAAAAATAGTGATTCGTTTCCTTAAAAAACAAAGACGTTTCATTGTTTGAAAGATATCGGGTTTGTATTCATCTTCATCTTTTCATTATTGTAGTTTTCAAACTAAATTACCCAGTAAAGAGAGCTATTAATAGACCAACCGCTAGTGAAGCAATGGAACATCCCTATCTAAAGCAGTATCATGATCCATCTGATGAACCTGTGTCGCCACCACTCGATATCGACTCTGATGGTTCATTTTTTTTACGCAGTTTTTTTAAAACAGTTTTTTTTTCTTTTTTACTCGATGTTTCACAAATGATATCATAGACTTTTAATGTTTAAGCTGGGAATTACGTATTTTTTGGCTCCGTTTGGAGAGAATGCTTAAAAGCTTTAGGAGCATTCTTTGGTTTTTATATCTGATCCAGTTTTAGTGTTATTCTGGGCATGGAGATAAAAATGGCTAAGTTTTTTTTACGAGGAGCCAAATCTCAACATGGATTAACTCATGTGGTTTGCGTTGCAGGTGATTTAACAGTTGAACAGTGGAAGGAGTTAATTTGGAATGAAATTGGAGATTTTGCGAAAGAAAGGATGAAACGACTTGCTGCGCCAATTGTAAACGATGAAGAAATGAATTGAGATCTGATTTTACGTATCACAAACTTGAAACATGAAGGAGCTTCCTGTTGCATTTTTATTTTTGTTTAGTCTCAGAATAAAACCCAGTGACGTAAATCTGTAGCGCTGCGTGAATATCATATGCGATTCCCATAAATTTTTCAATTACTTTGTCGTAATACCCGTATTATTTTGAACAAATCGATGTAAATAGATTCTTTTTTGTTTTTTGGCTTTTCCTTTCTTTTTTTAAAATAAATTGGTATTTATAGTGCTTTTTAACATAAATGGTACATGTATGCTATAATATAACCTTGCCATATTATTGTTTGGATTATGTGCGGCGTACAGTTGCGGCATCGTGAAAGACACGGCAGGAAATGACTGGACAGTCCTGGTCATCCTGAGAAATAATTTTGTACATATGAAGTTGATTGTTCTTAGTATTCTCATACCATTCTTAATCAAATAATTTTCTGTGGTCTCTTGTTTAACATTTTTCAGTTTCTACTTTATTAACAATTTTATTTTTTGTAATTTCTAAAAAACTCTTTTATAATTTCTAAAGCTTTTATTTATTGTAATAATGATCTATACCGATGTACAGAGAAGACCGGGAAGCTCCAAAACTTGTATTTAATCTGTTTTTATTTTTGTGGTTTATTTAAATTAAGCTAATTCATATTAGACCGAACTAGATTTATCAAGTTATCTAATCGTTATAATTGGCAACGGTTTTGATTTGTTTATCTCGCTGATGTAGTGTCCGTCTCGCTAACAGTCTAGTTTTAAAACCATAATAATATTTTATATTCTTAATTTGACCAGATTTTTTTTGTCAAATTGATACGATAAAATTATTTGACTAAATTGTTAGTGCGATCATATTTAAGCATAGAATTGTATAATAAAATGCTCCCAAGTTGTTAAATCTATCTTAAAGTATGCAAATTTTCTTGTAAGCAATCATTGTAATCCTATATCCTTGGGCGTCATTCGGTATCTTAGGCAGTTTTGTTATACTTTTATCAGATTCATTTGTGTAAAATTGGAGCATCTACTAATTTAACACTAAAAAGATATTTCCATTATCATCAATGTTAGTAGTTCGAGCGAAGTGGACTGTGTATTAGTCACTATTAATTGTTTCGAATAGTGTCCCTCAACGAACAGGAGTGATAAGTACTACAACTCATGATAATTATATAGGTTCAATAGCATTATTGAACAGATCGCATTTATGTATGTTTTTCATTTCTTGTTAGCGATAATTCATGGTACTGGTCGTGTTTTTTAAAGCGTCAGAGATTAATGATCCCTGAAATAATATCCTAGTAATCCAAAATTTAGTAATTTCATTGTCTTTATAAAAAATATAA